CTGAGAACACTTCTGTGGAAGCTGTCTTCTCTTGCCTTCTGTGCTGCCGAAACCCCCTATCTCCTTGACAGCTCTTCTTTGCATCTTCCACTAGGCCTTCTTAAATTCTGTTGTCTGTTGAGGGTCTGTCCTCACTTGGCTTTTTCCTTGACATAAATTCTGCACTACTGACTCACTCAAATCCATGGCTTCATCTACCATCCAGTAACTCCAAATCTTGATCCTGAGCACTGGAACTCTCTGCTGAGCTCTAGGGACACAAGAGCCAGCCTCATGAACATTTCATGCTCATCATGTCTAAAGCTGAACTTCTCTTCTCCTCTGTTTCCTATGTCTGCAAATTACAGCCAACCATTCAGTGTTCCAGGGCAAGAACTGTAAAATTACCCTAGCCTACTTAGCGCTATCTCACCACAGTTGTATGTAATCAATGCTTCCTTCTTTCTGGCCCTGTTCCTTCTTGATTATTTACTTCTAACAGCAGAGCTGATCTCCATGGCCTCTCGCCCACCTCGTGTGCTCCCCCCACACTCAGAGCTTTGGCTTGCCATCTTGCCATCAGTGGACTCCCCCACACAAGTGATCTTTCTGAAGCATAGATCAGGTCATGTGACTCCCTGGCTTGAGGTAATTTAATAGTTTCACTAACCATTCAACCCAGAATTCATACTCCTTAACTGAGCACACAGAGCCCTCTGTGAATTCATCCCTACCTACCTCTCAAGCCCTGGCACTATTTGTAATGATTTCTTTGCCATAGAACACTGATGGTTTCCAGCCTTCTCAGTGTTTTTCAAACACCATTGACATGGCACGTTCCATCATCTGCATCTTCTCCTACTGCTGTCCTCACTTGCCCGGATTCCAGCCACTCAAGCCTCTGTGCTGCTCCTTGAAAATGCCAGGTATGATCGTGTTCCAGAATACAAGGAGTTTCCAGACTAGACCGTGTATGTTTTTTGTAACCGCTTTACTTTTTTACATGTTTTTGCCCTTGTCTGTAACATCCCTCTACTTAGCCCAGTTCTGACTCTTTTAATCTATATGTCAAAAATCAGTTCCAAATTACTTTTTGAAACTCTTGGTGATCACCTCTCCCAGGATAATGTGGGTGCCCCTGCATGCCTTCCCTAGTGTTCCCGGACATTATGTCAATGATAGTTTACCATCAGGTAACTACCCCTTACTGTTATTAAAGACACAAGAACAATAAATGGTGAATTCTGTGGAGGAGGGGATTTTGTCTGTAGCATTATTAAAGTAAATATTAATAAACCCTAGAATGCCTTCCTGAGAGGAATTATGGTCTCTGCTATTTTGTCCATTTTTAAAAACAGATAGATGGATTTTTTTATCTATCAAGCATGATTATAGAGTATTGCTATTTGTAAATGAATATACTAGAACCTGCTTTATTAATTCCTCTCTTATCTCTTTCTCTTTCTTGTCCTTTTCCTTATTTCTCTACTCCTTCCTTTTTCTCTCTTTATCTTTTATTTTATTTATCACATCCCCTTCCTTCCTCTTTCTTTTTTTCTCCATTCTTCCCTTCTTTTTTTCTTTCATTCTTCATTGATTTCCTGAGTGCCTACAAATGTGCCCCATGATGCATACAATCATTAACAAAACAAAAATTGACATAAAATCACGTTCAAATGTAGGAAGCTTAGAAAAATGGGGAAAGAGAGTATCTATCAGTTAGGATGCATTAAGTTAAAACTAATAGAAAAGTCCTTCTCAAACCAGTTTAAGAAATAAAGAAATTGATTATCTCAGGACAAGATCCAGAAGAAGGACAGCTCTTAGTTTGGTTAATTCAACAGTACTATCAAGAAATGAGATTCTTTCCTTGTTTCCTCACTTCTGTCTGTGGTGTGTGTGCTTTGTCTCTGGGCTGGTTCCACCTTAGCTACAGAGTGTTGCAGCACTTAGGTAAGCTATGTCCAGACAGGATCATTCATTCAGGCCCCGACTGTCTCTTCTGGCGTCTGCTTCATATAACTTAGAAAAATAATTTGAGAAGCACCCCAGCCAAATGTCTGTCACTTCTCATTGATCAGTATTGAATCAAAACCTCTTTTTGAGGCGCTCAATAAATTATTATTAAATAAATTCATGGAAATTCAATAGTTCTAAAATTTGGGTTTTAAAAAATGATCTGCCAGATCCCAAGAACAATATTTTATTACCAAAATGTGTTTGAACAGAAGAGCAGGGCAAGAAATGTAAATTATAGGAAGAGGTTTCCATCCATCTCACTGCACACATGAGGACTTGGGTGTTCAAGGACCTGGAAGCCATTTTTATTGCCATCTTGGCTCCTTTCCCCAGTTAGTATCTATTTTTTCTGTATCCAGTTAGGTACTAATTACATGTCTAAAAGTGTAATATGATATCAGGAAAACCAGAAAATTGGTAGTGGAGTAGAATAAGAGCAAGTTAGATTTGTCTTCTTTATGGTGTGGGTTAGAAATATTTTTTTTTATTATTAAAGTTAAAACTATATATTTGAATATGTTTTTAAAATCAAAATGGCAATGGTAATAGGAAAACTAAAATATTGGAAAGCATTAGAAGACAGAAAGAAAGCAAGAAAATATAGCCTACATAGCAAATGATCAAAAAAATTAGCAGAAAGCATTTTAAAAGAAACAGAAAATAAAACTAGGAAACAGTAGTCAGAAGTAAAACAAAATATATCAATTACAAAAAATGAAAAGAAAAGAAATGTAAATGGCCAAATATTATTAACAGATAGACTCTCAAAGTAGAAAAGAAAAATCCACTCTATATGGCTTATGAGTAGGGTGATCATATTGTTCATTTCAAAACCAGGATGCTTTTGAAGACGAAACGTGGCCACTATCAATAATAATGCCTGGGGGACAAATGTAAACTAGACTGTCCCAGACAAATGGGGATATATCATTATTCTACATGAAATAAACATGAAAATGTTAAACATTAAATAATTGTTAATTATTTATGAGACATGTTTAAAAAAAGAATTAAAACATTAAAATTAAACAAAGTACATTTTTAAGGCAAAAAACATTGACATAAGCCAATTGATGAATATTTATTGAGCACTGCCTATGTGCCAGGCAATATTCCAAGGACCAGAATAATAGCAACACGTGAAACAAACACAGTCAGTGTCCTCAGAGAGTTTATGTTTTAACATCTAATAAGTCAATGGCAATGAAAGAAATTAAAAGTTCTACTTCCCTGTCCTTTTGCTCTAATTCATTTTTACAATATTAACAAAAGTTTTAGACTGAAACCAGATAGAGAAAGCAAAACAAACAATAAACAAACAAAAAAGAACCCCAGATGGAAAGGACAGGGCATGGAAGAAAGGAAAATAAATTTCAAGTATTCTAAATAAAATACTACTAAATCAAATAGAGCAGAAAATGTAAAAAGTAATATGTCATGATTATATATTATTTATGCTAATAATATCAAGGTAGTTCAATATAAAGAGATCCATTAATATGTTAATACACATGAAAAGATCAAAGGTGATGAGACATAAGACCGTTTCCCAACAGTTGCTAAAGAACAATGTTTATCAGATTGAGAGACAGAAATTTTCTGACACATTTGTTGGAGGTCTAAATTGATTAAGTCCACGTCCTTTATTTGAAGTTCTAAATATTGTTTTTCATTTTACATTTGTTTTTGTTTTTTGCAGTTCATTTACTGACAAAACTGTGCTGACTTAAATTCAAACAATAGAATGAAGAAAGGAAGTTAAAAATTGACATGAATAATAAGATCATATCTTTACAAAATATTGTACATGTATTTGTAGCAGGAGTGAGGGAGTTGTTGGAAATATAAAATTCAACTCTAAGTGGAGGAATAATGGACAATTTCTGCTTTATTGCCTTGAGTGCCTTAATTTTCTTGCTTTTTTAAAATTGATCAATGTCTCACTGTGAAATATGAGGAAATTAGCTCACTTAAAATTGCCTCTTTTTCATCTCCCTTCATCTTCCAATTTTTCTAAGTTGTATTGTTTTTACATTAATGATATTTATAAAACAAGTGACTGTATATATACATCCTCAACTATAATGAAATCTTCTAAGTTTATCTAAGGCCACATCATTACAAGTATTGTCCCACAGCATAAAGTTGGGGAGCTTTTGAGCCCTACCCCCATACCTGGACCATAATTTCTGGACTTGGGGCTACAGTATGACCAGGCTGCACAAATAATAAATGCATATTAAAAGCATATTGAAAACAATCTCCCCAGAGGTGGGGCAAGATGGAAAAGGAGAAAAACTCCCAGCCAGAATGTCTCTGTAAGAAAGAGAGATTTTAGAAGAAAGTGAAAAAAATAAACAAGCAGACAAACATAGACTGAATGAGGGTCGGAAGGAAGGGTACCTGAAACTAAGGAGACTGCATGGGAAGAAGTTGTGGAGGAGAACTAGAAAAGGAAGGGCCCCCACGAGGCTTAGAGACTAGCGACAAGGGTAAGTGAAGCAGTAAAATTTCTCCTCCCTAACATCTCTGACTGCTGGTGAGCTCCTGAGCTGTTGGAGAGACCAGCCCAGAGATGGTTGCCGCCAGTGAACAGTGAGCCTCTTGTGGGCAGGGCACCAGGCTCCCAGTCCCTCAGGGCAGCCCCGCCCGGCAGACCTGAGTGGATCAGGAGGTGCCATATTGCTTCATTCTCCCCTCCCTCTTCCCTGTGTGCGGCTATAGGTTGTTCACAGCAGCACCGAGTCGGGGTGCATTTGAGCCCTACCCCATACCTGGACCATAATTTCTGGACTTGGGGCTACAGTTTGACCAAACTGCACAAATAATAAATGCATATTAAAAGCATATTAAAAACAATCTCCTCAGAGGTGGGGCAAGATGGCGGAGGAGAAAAACTACCGGCCAGAAAGTCTCTTTAAGAAAGATAGATTTTAGAAGAAAGTGTAAAAAATAAACATGCAGACAAACACAGATTGAATGAGGGTTGGAAGGAAGGATACCTGAAACGACAGGAGACTCCACGAGAAGAAGTTGCAGAGGAGAACTGGAAGGAGAAAGGTCCCCGAGAGGCTTGGAGAACAGCGACAAGGGTGAGTGGTTAAATTGCTGCTCCCTGTATCTCAGACTGCTGGTGAGCTCCTGAGTGGTTGGTGAGGCCTCCCAACAACAGCCCAGAGACAGCTGTCACCAGTGAGTGGTAAGCCTTTTGTGTACAGGGCACCAGGCTCCCAACCCCTTCAGGGCACCTCCCAGCCTGCAGACCCGAGCCAATCAGCAGGCACCATAGTGCTTCATTCTCCCCTCCCCTCCCCAACGCACAGCTGCTGAGAGAGACAATTTAGCCACCATCCAGAGGCATCTGCAGGTAACAGTACCTTTCCTTTTCGGGCCTTACTGCAGACTGAGGGGTACTCATGCTGTGAGCTCCCTACCCGCTGGCCCTCACAGCTGTCTCCAGCAGACCGAGGCAAATCCTGAGACAGAGAGAGGTTGATCCAGCTTGAGCACCTGGTGGGTAACTTGAGACCAGCACTCTTCTCACTGACAGGGTCAGGGATTGATTTCCAGGGACCAGGGGACAGTTCTGCAGACCAGACCCATACACCAGTCTCGATCACATTGCCCAGGGGCACAGAAGGGGCCTACTGAGGTGTGTATGCCTTCAGGGGCAGATCAGCATGCTTGAGGGGCAACCTTTCTTTGACAGGAGGGCTGTGCTCCCAGCTCAGGCTGTGATCTTGGGCAGGGAACCTCTCCGCCAGCATCACAGCCAGGGGAGATCCACTAGCTTAAAGTCCTGCCTGCTGGCAGGAGCTCAGGAGAAACTGCAGACTAGGGGAGGGTAGAAAGGAGCAAGACCTGCTCCAGACTGCAGGCATCAGCCCCACTCCCACATGCAGACTTACTGGCTGTGTGATGCCATTTCAGTCCCTCCCTGGCAGCTTTGCCCAGAAGTGGAGAACAGACCTTTGACTATTGCTAACAGCATTTGTGGAGCTTGAAGATAGGCTCAACTAACCCAGTTCTGCCCACCCTCACTTCCCCACCTCCCCTTACTGAGGTGGAGAATGAGGACACACTGGAAGTCCCAGGGCCCCACCCACCACCTGAGACACTAGAGTGCCTCTCCAGAGGAACAAGAGCTGGTTACAGGACCCAAAAACAACACTACAGCTTGCTCCTCCCAGCAAGTGCCACCTACTGACAGGGAGGTTAATTTGCACACACTTTAAGTGCATCTATTGACTCATCATACAGAGTGTGCTCAAATTTCACCCACAAACACCACCTACTAGCTCATGGACTAATCATGGCATGTCATTATCCAAACAAAAATCTAAATGTAAGTAGCCAACAGCTGATCCAAATGGGAAGGAATCAGCAAAAGAACTCTGAAAGTATGACAAATCAAATGGAAAGCACACCCCCAAAGGGGAACACCAGCTCTCTAGCAATGGACATTAACAACATTCAAAACACTAAAATGACAGAAGAATTTCAAACATGGATTGTAAAAAAATTCAATGATATGCAATAAAAAATGGATAACCAACACAAAGAAACCACAAAAAATATCCAGGACTTGGAAGACTCATTTCTGAACTCCTGGAAATGAATCTATTCAGGAAACTACAAAGCATATTGTAAAGCCTCAAGAGCAGGGTAGATCAAACAGAAGAAAGAATCTTAGAGATTGAAGATTACACCTTCCAATTAGATAAGTCAGTCACAGAGATAGAGCAGAGAAATGAAAGAAAAGAGCAAAGCTTATAAGAAATGTGGGATTATGTAAAGAAACCTAACATGAGGGTTTTGGGGATTCCTGAAGGGGTAGAAGAAAACACGAAAGGGTTGTATAAGTTATTTGAAGATATAATGTAGGAAAACTTCCCAGGCCTTCTTAGAAATCTAGATATACAGGTACAAGAAGCTCAAATGACTCCTGGGAGATTTATTGCAAACAGGAAGATACCACAACACACATTCATCAGACTGACCACTAAAGGTTGTTTTTCACCACCAAAGAGGCCCTCCTATGAGCTGTAAGGCAAAAGAAGCAGGTAACCTACAAAGGAAAACTCATCAGAATAATGGCAGATTTCTCACCTGAGACCTTATAAGCAAGAAGAGACTGGGACTCCACTCTCACTCTTCTCAAACAGAATAATGCCCAGCCTGGAATCTTGTACCCTGCAAAACTAAGTTTCTTAGATGAAGGAAAAATAAAGACCTTCTCAGACAAGCAAAGACTGAGGGAATTCATCAAGACAAGACCTGCTCTCCAGGAAGTACTCAAAACAGTGTTACACACGGATCAGCACAATAAACACTCACCAATGTAAAATCATCCAAAGTTAAAGGTCAAAGGCCAGATACCCCAATGGCTCAAGAGAGAAAACAAAGCAACAAAGTTCAACTCAATAGGATGAACACAAATCTGCCCCACTTATGAATTGTCTCAGTAAATATGAATGGCTTGAACTGCCCACTGAAGAGCCATAGGCCGGCTGAATGAATAAATGTACACAAGCCAAGTATCTGCTATCTTCAGGAAACACATCTAACCCACAAGAACGCATTCAGACTCAAGGTAATGGGATGGAAAACAATATTTAAAGCAAACAGAAGCCAAAAGAAAGCTGGCATGGGAGTTCTGATTTCAGATAACTTAGTCTTCAAACCAACACAAGTAACGAAATACAAAGATGGTCACCATATAATGGTAAAGGGTACAAATCCACAAGAAGACATAACCATTCTAAATATTTATGCACCTAACTCAGGTGCACCTAGATCCATAAAGCAAATCCTACTTGACCTAAACAAAATGATAAACAGCAACACCGTAATAGCCAGGTACTTCAACACCCATCTGACAGAACAGGACAGATCCTCCAAACAGTAAATAAACATAGAAACAATGGACTTAAACAGAACTCTAGAACAAATGAGCCAAACTGACATTTACAGAACATTCTACCCCCAAACCGCTGAATATATATTTTTCTCATCAGCTCATTGGACATTCTTTAAGATTGACCGTATCGTAGACCACAAAGTATGTCTCAATGAATTTAAAAAAATAGAAATCATCCCATGCATCTTCTCAGACCACAGTGGAATAAAATTAGAAATCAACTCCAACAGAAACTTCATCTCTACACAAACTCATGGAAACTAAAAACCTTCTGCTAAATGATTATTGTGTTAAGGAAGAAATTAAAATGGAAATCAAAAGATTCTTTGAACTAAATGATAAAGGAAACACAAGTTATCAAAATCTGTGGGACACAGCTAAAGCAGTCTTGAGAGGAAAATATATATCTATAAATGCCTACATCCAAAGGACAGAAAGACCACAAATCAACAAGTTAATGAATCATCTCAAAGAACTAGAAAAAAGTGAGCACAATTTACAATTGCAAAGATGTAGAAATATCCCAGGTGTCCATCAATACATGAGTGGATTAATAAAATGTGGTATATGTATACCATGGAGTTCTACTCAACCACAAAAAACAATGATTATCTAGCACCTCTTGTATTATACTAGATAGAGCTGGAACCCATTCTACTAAGTGAAGTACCCCAAGAATGGAAAAACAAGCACCACATGTACTCACCATCAAATTGGTATCAACTGATCAACATTCAAGTGCACAAATAGTAATAACATTCATCAAGTGTTGGGTAGATGGGAAGGGGGCAGAGGGGATGATTATATACACACCTAATGGGTGTGGTGCGCACCATCTGGGGGATGGTCATGCTTGAAACTCTGACTCAGGTGGGGCAAAGTCAATATGTGTAACACAAACATTTATACCTCCATAATATGTTGAAATAAAAAAATAAAAACTCCTCAAATGTTTTCCATGAACAGTGTGAGGACCACTGATCTATAGTTTGGACTTAAAAATGAAAAACTAATAATGAACAATTAAAAATGATGATGGGTGAATATAATTTACTCCAAAATTGAGTAACACATCCAGGCTGATTGATAGAATCATTCTTAGGTTTTATCTTGGGAGCAAAATTATTTTAATGAATTATAATCACTATTTTCCCTGACAATTTCTATTTTTTGTCTAGTTGATTCTGAATTTAAAATTTCCTCCAAAGCTCACTGGAGAACAGCAAGGCTTGAGTGTTAAACTTTCTGTTTCTTTTCTGTTCTGTGTTCTCTCTTGGGCTAATCTTGGACTTAGGTTTTCCAGTAATTCCTGATGGCATTCTTTCTTGACTTCCTCTGCTATAATGATTCTATTATTTTAAGGAAGTAGATACTTCCTGTCAGTAAGTGGGAATCAGGATAGAGAAAATTAGATATACATGTTGGATGTACTTAGCTGGAATTTTCCATATCTAGATACATTATCATGATCATTCAAAAAAAAAACTTTTTACTTTGACTGTAACATATCTGATGCATTTATGAGTTAAAATAAGTATGAAAAGCCTGGGAATAGTATGATACTTTCTTAAAGTAATAAAGAATATCAATCTTAAATCAGAAAAAGCATAACACTTAGTACTGAAACACTGCAGGGTCAATATCAATCAAAGTCAGAAAAACAATAAATGTAATTTTTATCACCATGATGATTTAATATAGTCTCGGAAGCTCTATCCAAATCAATGAGATAAAACAAGAGCAAATAAGAGCATCATTATTTTCAGATATTAACCAGCCAAAAAGTCCTGGAAACTCAACTGAAATGCTATTATAATTAACAACAGAATATAATAAGTTAAACAGGTAAAAATCAATGTGAAAACCATTTTTTATATAGCAAAATAATCAGCAAAATGGTAAAAGCTCCTGTTCACAATAATAACAAAATGATAAAATGCACAGAATATAAACTTACCAAAAAATAGATAACCCATAAAAGAGGACTATGAACATTCAGAGTGAAATGAAGATGGGTTTAATGAATGGAGGAATAGACCATATTCTTAAGTTAGAAAATAGAAATTTTAAAAATGTCAATTTGTCTTCAAATGTGCTAACACTATAAAAAATTACATTCAATACTCCTGCAATGTTATTTCAAGGGAGAGAGAGGAATGGCTTGTACTAACTTATATTAGAACGTATAATAGATCTATAATAATTAAAACAATGTTGTACCAATATAAGAACTGATGTATAGAATATGAAAATCAACAG